CAGGCAGGAGAAAGCCTGTCCAAGTGCTAAAAGTAGACAAGACTGAAGGGATCAATGTGAGACCTGTGATTACTCAGTGCAGCAAACTGTGTGTGCATGAAAAGAGTGCTGCTTCCCTGCCAGTTATAGCGAACCTTTTAGAGCTTTCAGGGAGAACAGCCAGCTGAGCTCACATGCCATGGGTTCGCCACCATGGCCCTGGCCTCGTGTCCATGAAGGACAGACTAGTAAGCCAGGGTGGTGGCTCGGTGCGCTGTGCGCTGCCTGTAGCTGATGGACCCAGGCCTCAAGGCTTAGCATCTTTTGTAGCAAGCAGCAGAGAAGCTGGTCTCCCTACCTGAGAAGTGAACAGCCAGAGGAATCATGCTGTGGTCACCTCACTACTTAGTTGCCTATATGAACAGCTGTAGATGCTGCTTAGTTACTCTGTTTCCCACATGGTATTTCAAGATCTCATTACATTTCACAGTGATCTTTGGCACCAGTTGTCAAGGTATGGTTAATAGCAATCTGAAACTGGCTGTCGTAGTTACTTTTCTCCTGTTGCTGAGACACCCAAAGTTAAAGGAGAAAGGCTTACTTAGCTCACAGCTCATAGAGATTTCAGTCCAGATCGGCTGGTTCCAAGGCAACATGGCACATGGCAGAGGGGCATCACAGAGGAGAAACAGTTCATGGTGCCTATATGGTAGAAAGACCTCAGCATCTTTCTGCACCTTTTACCCAGACTACCAGATAAGGGTAGTGCCAAACCACTCAGTGGACTGGTTTAGTATCACATGACCTTAATCCCGGCATCACACATTTAGGTTCAGCCACCTCTGAAAAAGCCCTATGATCACCCGAGGCTTTGGAGGACATCTAGACACAAACCATAACACTGGCTGATTGCCATGTGAATGGACTGTATTGGGAATTTTTACTTTAATTAATTGAATGGGATTCCGCTGTTGTTGGTCCTTTTGGAGGGGGAGCTGGGGAGGGGAAAATACGATTCTTAATTTATGTTAAGTTGCCTGACTATTGAGAGTTCTTAATTAAAATAGTGACACCTCCTTGCTGTGAAGATAAAAGAGTTTATTCTGTGACAAAGACCTATTGTTGAACACTCTGGAGCCCTGCTTTAACAGAGAATGCTCTGGATATGAAGATGAAAAGTGCTCTTTTCTTGCACACTGTGTTTATACTAAAATCTTCACCTGCTAATCCTGCTAATCCAATTCTTTGTTCGCATGAGGTTGCAAATTTAAACTGTGTCACCCAAGAAGATTTTCACCATATGCAGGAAATTCGATAGAATTGTGATTGTTTTTTTTAATAAAATTTTGTAGGTGTGAAAAATAAAATTTTGGAATTACAGTATATTTGACTGTGTTAGCATCTGTTTTGTCCGGGCACACTGTCCATTCTTTTTCTTTTTTTCTTTGAGACAGGGTCTCACTATGTAGTTGAGACTGACCTGGAACTACTCACTATGTAGCCCAGGCTGGTGTCTCGAACTCACAGTGACCGTCCTGCCTCAGCCTCCTGAGTGCTGGGATTACAGGTGTGTGCCACTACGCCCAGCACACTGTCCATTCTTAGTAATGTAGTTAAACTGGTTTTTGAATGGCCCTTTCAACTTTTGGATGAGTCTCACTTCTTATTTCTCTGCTCTGGTAAATCATTTTGGTAACTTTAGCAGATTATCAAACGAATGTCCTGACTGGCTTTTTCTTCTTAACTATGATTATCTACCACAATCCCATTTTTTCCTCAGGACAGTGTTGTTTCCTCTCTTACTTAGGTCATGCTTTTTCTTTTGACAACTTTGGGATCTGAATTTATACATTATGGCGTTTTAAAAAAATTGAAAGGCACTGACAGTGTAGCTCCTTGGTGCAGTGCTTGCCTAGCATGTCCAGGTTCCTGGGGTTGATCCCCAGCACGGCATGCATGCAGGAATGAGTATTGTGTGGGAAGGCAGTCTGAGATTATTCGTACATTTCCACACCTCCCCACTGGTCTTCACTTCCATTGATGGATACTGCCTGTAGTAGTCACCATGGTATTTAAGTGGTGACTTTGTTTCCCTTATTCTTTCTTCATTGTTAATGGAATTTTTCTATAAAGGAGAGCTGGCTCTTCATACTAATGTCATTGTGCAATGGGGTATTTATTTTATCCTGTCACTATCAGTTCATTTTTGTTTTCCTGCAGTGGGTCCAGCTGTGGCCCGTAGGAGCATCTTGGGCTTGTTCCTGTGTCCTTTGGGCAGAGCCCTTTTGTAAATTCTTCTTTACTTTTGTTGGGGCGAATTATTTCAGGCTTATACTTCTCTTGTCCCAGCTCTGGAATCCTCTTCCCCAGAGCCCATTTCCTTTTATTGGAAAGTGGTATTTGAAAACCAAGATACAGGTGCTGTGTGTGCTTGTTAGTGTCAGTGTCGTTATTTCAAGGTCTCCTTGGAAGAAAAAACTAGGAAATCCGTGTATTTATTCCTATGCGGATCTATATGTACCTCTGTGTCACTTGCACATGTGTATATTAAAAGCCCTAACTTCTCTGGTTCCAGAGTAACACCACACGGTTTATTTTAGCCTTCCCTTCTTATTATACAACTGCTGTTCTAACAGTGAGAATCTCGGTTCTTTCCCGTCTGTTTTACTTACAAAGAAATAAATAAGTTAGTAATTTTAGAATTGCTGAGTTCCACCCTTGTACGAAGACCTTTTAGTGACAAGGCTTATGGCGTTTGTGCGCAGTTCTCTGCTCTCCATTTGATAGCACCCACTCAGGACGGTGCTTTCCGTTAGTCGGGCTGCTTCTCCCTCCACCCCTGCACTGCCGTTGGTGTGAGTCATTGTGGGCTGGCTTGTTAGGAAATGCATTCCTCATCGGGCTCCATGCATCTCTTTGGTTGTGCAGTATGTGAAGGATTTGTGGGGGACCACGGTGGCGCTAAGAATCTGATACAGAACTCTGCTGGGGACCCACCAGCCTCCTCAGCCCTGTCCCTCTCCCCCGTAACCAGTCTGTCTCTTTAGTTTTTGGCTTATTCTTCCTGTGTCATTTTAAACTCATCAGGTTTATATTAAAGCTTGTCCACCATGGGAGAAGGAGTATATTCAGTCCACCTTGTCCTCCTAAGGAGCTCCTTACCAGGGGAAGGAGGGCAGCGGGGGATGCAACTGGAAGTTATGTGTGTTTAACACCTCCACGTTTTTATGCTTTAGCTACTTGGATGTAACTTGGCAGCATTTAAAGTTTAATTGATTTTGTTTAACATGTGCCAATAAATCAGAAAAGGGATGGAAAATAATGTACATTTTCCTACACTATTTTATCTAGCCTTCCTTAACACTATATACATTACAGTCACACAACTATTATAGTTCTCTGAACTGTGAAAAAAAGAAAACTTTATATATACAAATAAAGTCCTCTTTGATCCCTGTCCTTCAACATCAAGCCAGTGTTATTGTACTTACAGTTTTTTAAAATATTTACTTACTTATTTATTTTGAGACAGGGTCTCACTGTGTAGTTTTGAACTCACTGTGTAGCACAGGCTAGTAGCCTCAAACTCATGGCGATTCTCCTGCCGCAGCCTCCTGAGTGCTGGCATGACAGGCGTGCACTACCGCACCCAGCTTTGGTTTGTTGTTGTTGTTGTTGTTGTTGTTGTTGTTGTTTTGAGACAGCACCTTGCTTTGCAGCCCAAGCTGACCTCAAACTCTCTTCCTGCCTCTACCTCTGCCTCCTGAGTGCTGGGTTTACAGATATGGATCACCGTATCCAGCCAGATTCTCTCTGTAGGCCTGTGCCATGTGTGCTCCTTTAAGATTCTTCATATGTTTCTAAACATGTATCTGTAGGGAAAAAATATTTTTATAAGTCTGAGTTGTTTTTTCCAGAATAAAGGACATTCTTTGTCTTCCTCACTTGCCTTTTCTCACTTACCGTGGTGGCCTGTTGATGCTTCGTCACTGGGACGCCCGCAGGGTAGCTGTTGGCCAGTGTCCTTGCACTTGACACCGAGTGCACAGACGTGGGGTTGGTTGGCTGTATCGCGGCTGTGCTGCCGCCAGTCCACCACCACGTTCCCAAGTCGTCAGTGCCTTCACCTTTCCTCACGGCGCTGCGTCAGAGTACTCATGGCTTCATTCCTCAGCGATACTTGATGTTTACTACGTATACTTGGTGTCTAAAATTTGGGGCATTTTTAAAAGTCAAAAATGATATTTTCTTTTTATTTGCTTTCCTCTGAGATAGTGAAGTTGAATTTATTTCCGTGTGATTATTAGTCATATACATTTCCTTTACTGTGGTTTGCCCATTTTAACCATCTTATTTTTCTTATGATTTGTATCCATTCTTTGTATATGCTAGAGTTGTTTATTTAACAAATATTTATTTGTCTTACTGTATGCTCCTGGCTTTGCTGTTTGTACTGGGTACCAGCAATAAACAAGGCCTCTAATTTCACATTCTGAAGAGGAAGTTGCACCGAGGAAAATCTAAAATAAATAAGATTATGTATATATGCATACGTGCTAAAAATAGGGTAATGGTGAAAAACCTATTTCCCTGTGCCCCGCCACTGCCCTCCAGCCCTGGGGTCTTGCTGTTAGGCAGGCGGACAGGAAAGCCTCAGAGAAGACAGCTGAGATGAGGAGTGTCCGCACAGGGAGCACAGTGTATGTCTTGGGCCAGAGGTGGTGCTAGCGAGCAGGAGGGACGGACAGGTCCGACTGTCACAGAGGGAGATGGTGGACTCCTTAGTGTGAGGGACTGTGAGAGACACGTTCCTCTCAGGAGTACACTTGTTACTCTCGGAGCATTTGAAAGGTTGAGTTCTGCAGCAGGAGAGTTTCTGCAGCTCCTCCTTCCCTGACTGGGCTAGGTTACCAAGCAGCTCCTTGATCTAGGGTATTTATGCATCAGGACTGGGTCGTTGGGTTTGTGGTTATTTGAAGGCATAGGCCTTTTCTTTAATAAAGGAAAATTTTCTGTTTCAGATTACCTAGGAACAGTACGATTTGGGGTTATCACAAATAAACATCTTGCGAAACTGATTTCCTTAGTACACTCTGGAAGTGTGTATTTACATAGACATTTCAACACATCACTTGTAAGTATTTTGAAATCGTGTTTGTAATAGTGCAGCGGCTCTTAACCTTGCATAGGTCACAGACTCCTTTAAGAATTGGATAAAATCTGGACACTGTCTCTAGGAAAATGCACATGATTTTGCCTCTACACAAGCCCACACTAGAGCCCATGCCCCTGGCTAAGAGTCTGTGTGTTAGAGGGCTCTGGACTGTAACATCTAGACATTCTTTATGTATATTCTTAGATTTTGGTACAGCCTTGTTTGCCTTCTTGGATGAAACTGCAGTTACTCTGGGCCTGTGTTCTCAGGGGCTAAGCTTCCACTGGGTGATGTCTTTTGTTCATTTGCTCCTTTCATGAAGAGTACTAATATGACCTGCTTTTCTCCTTAGCTGATGTAATGGAGTTTTGAAGTTCTTATCAAGTCACAATGAGAAGTTGATGGCTTCTTACCCCAGAAATCCTCTGTGCAAACATCATCTCCTTTGTTCCTCAGTTTCATTTGCTTTTTCGGTGGGACAGCTCCACTCAGCTATTTCTGAACTTTGACCTATGTCTTGCATAGTCTCGTGCTTTTCCTCTATCACTTGCTACTTCCTCAGTCACATCGTAGAGGGTTTGTTTTCGGAAGTGTGTTCTGTCACTTTAACATCGCCAGTGTCGTGGATTACAGGTCATATGAAGATCGATGTCCTGGGCTCCCCTGGGTCAGTGTGTAGATCACGTGCCTTTGGTAGTGCCACTGGCCCTTCTCTGGGGTGCTGTTTGCTTGCCATGATCGTGACTTCCATACGTCTCTAGGAGTCCAGATGTTGTGCCTACTCCTTGTAGTTTATATTCCAAAGTCAAGTGTGTTTTTACTGTTTTCCAAATAGAAGTGTTTGTGATGGTGTTGAGTGTGTGTTTTCACACTCCTATCTTCCCACTTTGAGCATCACTGCTGTGATTGTTTAACTCCTGCCACCCACTCACTCTCTTTGTGCTTTAAGCTTCTTTTGGTTTCATCTGCTTTTGCTAGCTATCATTTTCCTGCATTCTTCACTTATAGCTTACATATTATATTTATTTATAGTAAAGGGTATTGAGGAAGAAATTTTAAATGGAGAAAAAAATGGTAGAATTATGAAGTGACAGGGAAAAATACATTGAGTTTACTGCTTCAGTTGGATGGTATTTACAATTGATCTTAGCCAAAAGGCTGAAAAGCAATAGTTGGATGGTATTTAAAAGTGATTGGTTTAGCAGTGGAGTTCCTTTTACCAAAGAAAATATTGGATATTTATAGAAACAAAAACAGTAGCCAGATGTGATGACACATGCCTGTAGTCCCAACAATTAGGAGGCTGAGGCAGGCTAATTGCCATGAGTTGAAGTCCACCCTAGGCTACATTGCAAGTTCAAGCCCAGCCTGAACTACATAGTAAGACCCTGTCCCAAAATTTTAGAAAAGAGAGGGCCAGGGATTTAGTTCAGTGGTTCCACCGCCTGCCTTGTGCACAAGCACATGGTCCCGAGTTTGATCCCCGGTACCAAAAATAAATAAATAAACAAACAAACAAATAAGAAAGAGGGCCAGGGATTTAGCTCAGTGGTACCTCTACCTGCCTCGCAAGCCCAAGATCCTGAGTTTTGTCCCCGGCAACAACAACAACAAAAAATGCCTTTTTAAAAAGAAAAGTAGGTGGGCATCTTCATTTAAATATCCATTTTGCAGGGCATCAAATATTTTCATCTCTATGGAAATTGTTTGAAACAAATGATTTATATTATTAGACTTTAAAAGATAATTTTATGTTGACCTACATTAATTGTTAAAGAAAACACAGAAAAATTTAGTTTCTCTTCCTCATCCAACACAGAAATTGTGACCCTTGTACAGATTTTGGTGAGTCACTGATTCACGCGTCTGTTGAGCCCCTGCTCTATGCCAGGGTTTTGTCCAGTCCCTGAAGATACCTGTGAGTGAGGCAGATGCAGCCCCTGCCTCAAGGAGGCTGCATTGTGGGCAGGGTTTGAGGGACCAAGGGAACCCAACCAATCCTTGACTGCACAATTCCTGGCCTTGCTCTTTTTATAAACACCTCTCCTTAGTCAGGGTGATAGCAGTTGTTATGGCCACCAGGAGACAGGGTAAGTTATAAGGAAGAAGCTGATCTGAAAATTCACTTCCTGTACCCACTGTTGCTTTCTGACCACTAGTGAGGAAAGGCTGTCTGGAGAAGTGGTTAGAGCACGGGCAGTTGTAGTGACTTCTGGGATCCTTTTCCTGCCTGCAGTGTGGGCTGACTGCCCTGGAGGAGAGTGCTGAGTGCTTTGGTCCTGTCCTGGCATGCTCAGCTTTCCTTTATCTGTGTGTTGGTCCTTTGCAGGTCTTTCCCAAGGAGGTCATGAACTTCACAGCTGAGAACATCTACAAGTGGGCTTCAGAAAACCGAGAGACACTCTTGCAATGGCTGCAACCCCATGGAGGCAAGAGTCTCCTGCTGAATAACGAGCTGAAGAAGGGACCGGCGCTCTTCCTGTTCATACCATTCGACCCTTTGGCCGAGAGGCATCCCTTAATAGACGAGGTCAGAGTCACAGTGGTTACAGTGCTAACTAGCCCATACTTTTCTTTCTCCACACCCAAGGCTTAAGCAGCCAAGTGGTTGCCAGGAAGAGTAACTGCAGTCAGTGGCATTGTTCTTTTCTCCTCTAAGTGGACAGGAGAGCCACACCTAGGACAGGGACTGCCCCAAGCCTCTTTAGACATACTTGGTGACAGCTGCTTGGGTGTGGGGTCAGTGGGAGGAATGAGAAGTCAAACCACTCCTCTCCAGAAGACCAAATGTCTCTTCCTGAGGCCATTCACATTGAGATTCCCATTTGGGGAGTTGCAGGAACACACAAGCAGGGATTGGTGTGGACTAGGAGATGATGACACTCGTCGTGGGGGTTGCCAGGGGGGGCATCCTCAGGACAGCAGAAAAATGTGCAGCCCAGCAGCCAGGTGCCACAGCAGGTGTTGGGACACCTTATTTTTCTTAAACTTTCTTGTTGTGCAGATTGCCAGAGTGGTTTTCAGAGACAGCTGTCACCTCCTCCTCCTGCTTTTCCTGTTTTCTGCGGTCTTGCTCTCTCTGAGTGTGGGCTTATTTTATACCAGGATCATTTGGAGGCACTTAGAGCAGTAATGATCAGCAGAGAAAGCCTGGGATTGCTAAATTAGATTTTTTTTCTTTCCCTCAAGGATCCCTTAATTGGCTGAAGCCAATTTCAGACAGCCAATGTACCACAGGCCAAGTGTTGCAGGCACTGCCTCCGCCTGCACCCCTTGGCTCCCACCTGGAGGGACATGCAGCACTCCTGCCAGTTAAGACTCTGTAGTTTGCTTCTCTGGAGTCTTTTTTTTGGTTATTATCCCTGCTAGGAGCCTTCTGAATGTCACTGTCTTGGCTTAGAAGAAGAAGAGAGAAATGGAATTGTACTGTTTCTTCCCATCCGGTGAGGGAGGCCCTGAAATAATAAAATCTCATTTCTTTAGAAAATCTTTATTATGCAAGTACTCTATGAACTGAGACACCCTTTCATGTGACTAGGCCTTTGCCATTTCCGGTATATAGCACCTTCAAGGTCTTTGTAGAAAAGCCAACCAGGGTGGTGGCTATAGTTGTGGATTTTTACTTTAATTTTTAAAGCTTCCTTCTGGAGAGCTCTCCTGTCTGGTTTAGGCCTACCGGGGTTCTAGGGCCGTGTTTGGGTTAGGTTCCTGGTGGGAGGACCCTTGCTTCCAGCCCATTGTTCCTCTGTGAGTGTCTCCCCTACATCCCACCTTCTCCTGTGCCTACGTCCCACTGACAGGCCTTTTTGTCACAGTTCTGCCTGTGGCTCCTGTTCTTGGGCTCCCAGGGTCCCTTGAGGTAGGAGGATTCCCTCAACCTCAGTTTATGGTTGAGATAACCCCTTACAGTGTTGTGAACTATGTGGACGAACAACTGCCCATCTCGCATATTCCCTCTTGGTTTTGGGCCAGTTTGGCAAATGTTTATTGAACACTTTGCTGTGCGCTCGGTGGTAGGATATTGTGGCAGTCTTGGATCCCTGTCTCAGGCTAGTCCAGCAAAGCATGATCGGGCCCAGGCTCAGGGCCAGCAGGACTCAGCAGGGGGAGGAGAGGCTTTGGATAGGTGGATGGGTGAGTGGGGTGAGGTAGCCTTTGAGAGATAACCTGATCCTGGAAGATTAAAGGAGACTAAAGGAAGGAAGAGCCTGAAGAGAGGCAGTAGTGGGAAGTTGCAGGTTTAGGTGTTGGAAAAGAGCGAGCTTAAGGCACTTTCACTGCAGGCCTTGCTTTGGGCAGGGAGTTGAAGCTTCCATTGTTGAGAAAAAAAGGACTATCTTAGAGTGAAGGCGGTGCAGTTGAGGGGTGCCAGGCAAGCACAGGTGGACATGGTTATGGTGTCCAAAGTGACCAGATGGTGGCTGCAAGTATAGGAATGGGCAGCTGCCCTTAAACACACACAGCATCACACACAAAACACCCGGGGTTCTGACAGGGCTCTAGAGTGGTTAAAGGATGGCACCGTGCTCAGCCAGCAGAGTTGGGGTGTCTTGTTTCCAGGCTAAACGTTTCTTTGCAGTGCTCATAGTATATGAGTCTGGTAAGCAGGAGCATTCTTATTGCAGAAATAGGTTTTCCCTGATGGGAGAAGTAGTGGGGCAGACATTCAAAGTTACGTGCCAGATACCCTTTATACTTCACATGGATTAAATTTATCACTGACAAAGTAACAGGATGTAGCTTGAGTTGTTTAAAACAGTTCCTTTCATTGGGGGGAAGTTACAGTGGCTCACTCAGGAGCAATCGCTGAATACAAAATACTGTCTTCAATTAAAGGTATTCTTCAAAGTGCAAGGTCCGGGGTTCTATCCCCATAACGAAAGAAAGAAAAGAAAAAAAAATTCTTCAAATGGCTGCTTTGTGAGAGATAGCAAAACTGAAAGAGATAAGGAAAGAAAATTGTAGGAGCCTTAATGCTTTCCTCCTTGAACTTTTCATAAAAGGTGACAGTAAATCGGGGGGGAGGGGATGTAGCTTCTCCTGTTGTGTCACTGAACACCAGACAGTCCCTGGATGAGCACCGGGCACTGGGGCTCCTGGTGGCACAGATGGGCTTGGCCTATCTAGCAATGTGCCGTTAGAGCTTCATCTAGATAGACTAGAGGTATTCCCTTGTAGGAAAAATAAAAAACACTGATTTATCATCTAAAGTGACTTTTTAATGCCAAGAGCTATTTAGTTGATTTTTCTATATAAACACATGGTTTGAGTTAACTCTCTTTATATATATTATTACAAAGCTTGTTTTTTAAGAGTTAGAATTGCACTGATTAAATGATTTTTTATACACATACGCACCTCACACACTTCTCTGTCACACTCACACACTTTAATGAAATAAAATCCCAAGTGACTTAACACCTTTTACCTACCTGTGGTGAGATATGATTCACACATAGTTTTACTTTAGAGGGTAAATGACTTTGAATTATAACTTGCTCATTTTTCTCATGAAACTAGGACTAGGGTGAAGGTAGGAGGTAAAGTTACTCCACTTGAAAATGGAAGGGTCTTGGAGGAAAATGAACTATTAAATCACTAGTCCAGCTCTGAGGATGGCATGGTTAATCTCATCAGTAAAGGGAGTGTGTGCCTTGTCCTGAAAGGCCGTGCCTTTTTCCAGTGCTCACTGAGTATTTGGTATACGCCTGACCTTGTCACAGGCTGTCCGAGTAGTAGGATAAATGTGAAGATCCATAAGCCTATGGGGAAGAGGAATGTCAGTCATGCTTGGGCTGTATTTTTAAAATTAAGGAGGCAGGGGCTGGGGATTTAGCTCAGTAGTTCCACCTCCTGCCCGACAAGCTCAAGGTTTCAATCCTGGTACAAGAAAGAAAGGAAGGAAGGAAGGGGAAGGGGAAAAGGAAAAGAAAGGAAAGATGACTGAGGACTTGGTAGTGTCAGGGCCTGGAGAAGAGGGGCTGCTGAGCCATGCTGGAGTCAGAGCAGGCTGCATTTGAGGCAGAGGATAAACCGAGGAGCCTCACTTCTACCTTACTGATGCTGTAAGGGAGGATAAGATGGGTGAGTATGGTTTGCAACATGCTGAATTGGCATCCTCCTGTGGGGCCTGAATTTTTCTGGGAATGTATATGCTGTAAAACATTCTGATCCACTGGTCAGGTGCTTGGAAAGTTTTTAAATGTATTAAGATGGAGGAAGAAGACAGTTTTAAAGGGTAAAGGAAAGTATTCTGAACTGGAGATGAGAGATTTAAGTTCTGTTCCGGTTCTTTGGCAGCCTGGACCGAAGTGCTGAGCTGAGCCATCTCACCTGATGCTTCTCTGAGCTGCACTCTTCTCAGGTGGTGGCTGAGACATCTCTCGCTTCTGTCTCAAAAGAATTTGTTTGAGCTGGGCATGATGGTTTACACTTGTAATCTCAGCACTCAGGGAGATTAAGGCAGTAGGATCACAAATTTGAACACATCCCTGGCAACTTAGTGACTTAGCAAGACACTCTTAAAATGCAAAGGTTTGGAGATGTACCTCAGTGCAAAAAACTTGCCTCAGTCACCAGTACTGCAAAAACTTGCTTGTTAACAGAGTGACGTATTGTGAAAACTAACCCAGGCCTCTGCTGATAGGTTTCGGTGTGACTGCTTCCTCTTTAAGGCAGTCCTCTGTCTTGTCACCTCACAAGGTGCTTCCCAGGTGCAGCAGCTGTGGGCTCTCTCCCTTGGGATCATCCTCTTGGCCCTCATCACCTCTGCTCTGCCTTTCAGATCACCGAAGTGGCCTTGGAGTACAACAACTGTCACAGGGACCAGGTGGTGGAGCACCTCCTTCAGCATCTGCGGCAGGTGGAGGCACCGGCTTTGCAGTCCCTGGCGCCAGAGCCACCTTCACTGCTGCCGGGCACATCGTTGATGGCAGCATTGCCCTGCTGCAACACTGTGGTGCTGCCCCAGGGGCACTCCTTTTCCAGGACCCACAACATCTGTGAGCTGTGTGTCAACCAGACTGCCGGGGGCGTCCGGCTGAGCTCAGTGAGCGTGCCGCAGTGCAGCTTCTTCCACATGGCAGCGGCTCTGGATTCCTTCTACCTCAAGGAGCAGACCTTTTACCACATGGCATCGGACAGCGTGGAATGCAGCAATTTTTTAACTTCCTATAGCCCTTTTAGCTATTATACTGCATGTTGCAGGACCATAAACAGGAGTGGGGTGAGCTTCATTGATTCTGAACAGAGTACCTTTGAAACCCCAGGCCCTGCGTTTTCTTCCCTGGAGAAGAAGTGCGAAGCTGCCACCCCCAGCTCTGTTCCTCACATTGAGGAGAACAGGTATCTCTTCCCTGAAATGGGCATGACCAGCACCACCTTCACAGGCCTGAGCTGCAGGACCAACAAGACCCTGAACATCTACCTTTTGGATTCCAATTTATTTTGGCTATATGCAGAGAGACTGGGTGCTCCAAGCTCCACCCATGTGAAAGAATTTGCCACAATTGTAGATGTGAAAGAAGAGTCTCACTATATCTTGGATCCAAAACAATCACTCATGAAGTTCACCTTAGGTACTGTAGGCAGTTTACTTCCCTGAGCATAAGTTTTGCTTAACATAGGTAACCCGGGTTGATGGTCTCATTACACTTGACTGTGGGGGTGACATAAACTCTGTAGCTAATTTTAAGTACTTATTTATTTATTTTGGTACTCTGCATTGAACTCAGGGCTTCTGCACTGAGCTACATCTCCAGCCTTTATTTTTTGCCTTGCTTTGGGTTTTTTTTGAGACAGGGTCTCACTGTGCAGTTCAGTGTGGCCTTGAACTCCTAGCAGTCATCCTGTCTCAGTCTCCCGAGTACTGGGATTACACCATCATGCCTGACTTCATTAAGTTTTTAGACAGTTGATCATAAATTGCCCTTATCTGTTGGTCATAATTTTAAGAGAACCTAATTTTATCTGTTAAATGGAACAGAAATTTCCTAACTCCTAATTTTGGATAAGTTTGTTAGCACATGGTGGGAAAGTCCAACTTTCTAGATTGGTAGTTCCTGTCACATGTCTAAGGTAGAGCCAGCTGTAGTAGTGGGAACCTGGGAACTGTACCATTCAGGAAAGTGAGAGGTGTTTGACAGGATATTCAGGGGCTGATGAATGCTAGCCATTAACACAGCATCATCCTAAAGGAGCTAAGCAGAAAGTAGTAAGAAAACAGAAGTACCTTGCCTCCTTTTCGTCTCATGGGTTTCAGTGTATCAGTATCAGGGCGACGCAGTGCAGTTTACAGCAGTGTTGAGGAATGCTGTTTGCCCTTGAGTGCCTAGATTGTAACAGAAAAGGGTTGAGTGCAATAAATGTCAAGTTGCAAACCAGTAGAAATTACTTTCCGGGGGTTGAAGCTCTATTATGGGAAAGCATTGCACAGCTCTGTTCCCGGGAGTTGGCAGCAACGGCAAACTGACCACCTTGTGCTGCAGCCCCCAACATACACACAAGGAAGTAAAATTCAAAAGCCTCGTTAGTTCAGCCTCACTGGAAATAGGGGAGACTGTTTGCCAAATGGAGAATTTTCAAATTTGGAAAGCAAGAGCGAACTCAGAGCCTCTAAATCTTAGTTGATTTAGCTGTCCTTTTCAATCTCGGTGATTCATGTTTCTTACATTAGTCATGTTCGTCTAAGGATTTATGTAAGTCTGGATTGTCTGTATCAAAATACAGTCATGAAGGCTCCTTGGTGATTCAAGGACCCTGTGACCAGCCACTTTACAGGGAACTCCCAATGCATGTTTTCTAAGAGCATCTTGGATATTTATTTTATTTTATTTATTTGTTTGTTTGTTTGTTTTTGGTAACGGGGATCAAACTTGGGACCTTGCGCTTGCAAGGCAGGTGGCAGCACCACTGAGCTAAATCCCCGGCTCTGGTATATAATTTTTTTAAAAGCAACAAGTATATATATTCTTTAAGAGTTGATTAGATTTTCCTGAATTCTATTCAGTAACACTTGAGCATTTGATGAGTTTGAGATGTGTTCCGCTTGAATTTAAGGGTTTTTAGAAAAAAGGCTTTGAATTTCATTTCGTCTCTGTCTGCTCTATAAAGTCCCGCTCAGCTGTTCTTTGTCCTGTAACTGGTGACTCGGGTCCTACAACCCCCTCCCCAGGTACTTGTGTCACTGTTGGCTTAGAGGGTTAGCTCCTAAGTCAGCCATTGCTACGGCAGTTTCAGAATTTAGATTTCAAAAACTTGGCCAACTAAGTCTTACTTGGTTATGATAATGAAGTCTCTTTAGTATTCAATACATGACATTCTTCACTTCCTTCTTGGTCTGCAGAATATGCCATTGCCCTTTAGGACGTCAAAATGGAGAGAAGAGAAAGAGAAGTAAAACTCAGCTTAGTGTTGCTTCAGCTGAGGTAGAAGATACTAAATGGTGGCTTTTGTGGGGAGGTTTGTGGCTCAAGTTAGGGTTTCTATCTATGAGTTTCACTTACAGATTTTTCTGTTGCATATCAATGAGTTATTTTTGTTCATCTTTTAAAAAACAAACTTGAAAAACTTTATGAAAGTAAAAAATCATCTTGTCCTCAATGAGCATTTTACACCCTCCGCATTCCCATTACTTGCACAATTATTGCATTTGGAGTTGTGCATCAAGGCCTTCGTGATACAGATTGAAAACTCTTCAGAAGATTGTGACACACACGTTGACACTGTATGCATTCTTACTTGGTGTGTGTGTGTGGGCCAGTGCTTTCAGGAAAGAGTAGGACAGGATTTCTAGTCTGAGTATTAGAGCACCCAACAGTGTGTAGTGTGTTGTTACCCTAAAGGACTGTCTGCCCAGCTCACTGTGTCAGAGCTAAGCCTGATGCCGCCCGGGCAGCTTTGTGCAGGGCTTTGTTTAGAGGTGAAGTGTTAAAAAGGTAAGCATGGGAAGTCGTCCCCATCTTTAAAGTGTGGAGCTTAAAGTAGGCCAGTTATTTTCCTTGTACCTAGAAAAGACCTGATCTAATTTTCTCTTTATTTTTAGAATCTTTTATTCAAAACTTCAGCATTCTCTATAGTCCCCTGAAAAGGCATCTCATTGGAAGTGATTCTGCCCAGTTCCCTTCTCAGCATTTAATCACTGAAGTAACAACTGATACCTTTTGGGACGTCATCCTTCAGAAACAGGTATGAAGTCTCCAGAGAGGCAAAAACCAAGCCATCTATCCGTATTAAGATAATTTCCAGAGCTGCACTGGTGGTTGGGGTAAATGGTCTGTTTTGAGTACTATGCATATTAGCCACATGACAGTCTGATGGTGGGACATAAGTGAATTGCATGTTTTTCTAATCACAGAAAATCCTTAAGAAAACACATAATTGAAAAGATGTAAAGGTGAAAATTTTTCAGTGCATTTTCTGCATAGTTCTGGCATTAACTGAATGCCTGGATTCTAAGCATAGCTGGGAAAGGAAGAGAGGTCATTTCCCAGGTGAAAGTAATGCCCATTTCCGTCCCACAGGACGTTTTGCTGCTCTATTATGCACAGTGGTGTGGCTTCTGTCCATCCCTCAATCACATCTTCATCCAGCTCGCTCGTCTCCTGCCAGTGGATACATTCACTGTGGCCAGGTAAGGAAACCTAGCCGTGGTGTGGGAAGGTCTCCCACTAACCTGCAGTAAGGTGTGGTTGGATTTCACTTTCAGCTGTAAGGCTTCTGTAAGGTGACCTTCTCCTGATGAATTCTGAGTGTCCGCGAGAGTGAGTGTGTTTAGTGCTGTCTAGATTCGTGGGTGGGCAAGTATGGGTCTGACTGCCTGGAATCCGTGGGAGAGGAGAACTGGGTTCCCACTGGCCTGGGCCTGGAGCCTGGAGCACCGCCCTTGTTTTCTTCCTCATTGGAAAAATCAGGAAGAACAGCTGGTTGATAGCCACAGGTTCTCATTTTATGATTCCGTGGGTACCATATGTGAACTCCCGTATAAACAGGCATTTTAATAATTTTTTTTTTTTAAAGCTCAAATGCAGAGTTTTTATATGAGGTAGGAAGCCGTTTTTCTGAGGTATGTTTAGATTTTCTTTCCCACCCCTCAAAATATCCCTCCAGATAGATTAAATAGAAAAGAAAATCACAGGAAAAAAAATAGAGCAAAAGATAAAATATTGGAATTGCTAGTTCTCTTGAGAGAACTTCCAAAGTAGAAGCAGTTGAAAGAATAATGCAAGAAAGATGAATAGATTGCATTAGAAGTATGTGTAGTGAAAATAAAGGAATATTGTATAGACTTTTAAAAAGGTACCTTAAGCAGTATCTGTCCCACTTGTTATTCATGCTTTGGGGGGTGGGGTGCCAGAGATCAAATTTGGGTCCTTGTGCTTGCTAGGCAGGCGGCAGTACCACTGAGCTAAATCCCCGACCCCCTGTCTCACTTGTTATATACAGTGTACTGTCAGGTAACTTTCACAGTCACACAACCGATCAGTGAGGGACCAGAATTCAGAATCAGGATTTTTTACTCTAGATCCCTCACAGTTAAAAGGTTAAAGGACAGGTAGGTAAGAGTGACTCTTGTGTGAACAAAAGATACGGCAGGATTTCTGCGTGCAAGGACAGAGTACATAAATAAATGGGGAAATTTGAATCTAATAAGTGTAAATTAAAATACTAATAGTGTAATATACACTTATAAATTCATAAATGCCTTTAAGTGACAGAATCTTGTGTTGATAAAATAAAGTGAAATTGGCACAGTCAGATGTAGCTAATGGAATGAGCAAATTGGCATAAGCCTTTTGGAAAGCATTTTGGCAACATTTGCAAGAAATCACAAAAACAGTAATATATTTCTAACCCAATTAACTTCACTTTAGGGAATTCGGGAAATCAGAATTCCAGAGAAGTATGGGCCAGTCATTACAGTAGATGAATGGGCTGTCAGTTATACTGGCCTTTGATGGAATTTTTTGCCCACTCTGGAAAGCTTTCCAGATTATTCATTGAAAAGTAGAGTATGAGATAATTGGTCCTAAAACAGTAAAAGCTTACAGACCCAGCCAGAATGAGAATCCCAGGAAGAAAGCACTGGTTAGCCTGATAGAATTCCAAGTGGACTTTCATGGTGCTTTTCTTTTAATTTCAGTTTGCTTTTTCGTTGGGGTAAAAATCAGGAAGAAAAAAAAGCATTTGGTTATAGAATATAGTGTTTAACACCACATGCTTGAAAAGTGGAACGCCGCTGTTTTAGATAGCCTTTTGCAGACAGGTAGGCACGCTGTTTTGTTAGTTGTGGTGAAATTGTTTTCATTCAAGAATTACAGGTTTATTGTAATGAATTTCATCCCTTTAAACACATGGCAGTGATTTACACAGACACACACACACCACTATGCTTTCTGAAAGCTCCTATCAGGGTAATGGCCCCAAACGTTTCCAGCTTTTGGGTGCAGCTTTCCCACCAGGACAGGGTGGCTCCTTCCGTGGAAGGTGCCCACTGTCCTGTCTGTACACATGGGAGCCTCCCTGCACGCCGCGTTTAGTGCTGCTGCTGAAGGACTGACCGCCTGCCCAAGCAGTTAGAGAGCTTCTGTAGTGATCGAGCACAGGATGAATGATTTAGTGCTGATGTCATTTTCTCTACTCAAACTGTAATCTAAAATCTGCTAAGAAAACACGATGATGCGCTGTTACGGCCTCTGCCCAGGTCTGCAACATAGAAAGCAGGATAATCTGTCTTCATAGAGATATAAGTTTTATTTAGTGATTTCTATTCATTTTTTTTCTTTTGGTTTTTCATTTTATTTTGTTTTGTTTTGTATTTTGAGATAGGGTCTCACTTTGTAGTACAGGCTGGCCTTGAGCTGTGTATCCCAGACTAGCCTCAAGCTCACAGTGATCCTCCTACCTCAGCCTCCAGAGTGCTGGGATTATAGGTATGCACCACAACACCCAGCTTCCATTTTTTTCTCTAGAACTTGTTCAGGGATTGAAGTACCTGGCCAGACAAGTTAACTACTCTCGAGGCATCTGTGAGGCATTTGAGGGAGTCCATTTTTACTTTCAGGACATGACATTACCCTGTGGTGGAAGGTTTCCTGATAGTGAAGAGTAGCATGCCCTGAAGCTCTCAGTATTTGACACGCACCTGGTGGTGTCCTCACTGCAAGGGGTGTAGGAATGCACTAGGTTCTTCAGTTATTAGAAAGTTCCTTCAGGTTGGGGTTTGCAGCCCACTCTGTTAATTACTATACTTTCCCTTCGCCTCTGCCAGGATCGACGTGTCTCAGAATGATCTTCCTTGGGAATTTATGGTTGACCGGCTTCCTACCATATTGTTTTTTCCCTGCAACAGGTAAGGCTGAAATTTTTTTAATATTGGAGGATAGGATTCTCTTGTTGAGGTCTGATGATAAAAGGGGGATACAAAAAGTAAATCATTTGTTACGACTAAACTGTTCAAAGAATGTGCCATTAGAGACAGAGATCTGCTTTCCTATCAGAATGTCACATGTGGTGATTTTCTTTGAAGAAATGTGCTCTTTCCTGTGTCTGTTTCTTAAACGTGGATGCATTTGCCCATCAGAATTTGTTAGTTTTCTTGGCCTCTGGGAACATACAGAGATGACAAGATTGACAGGAAAGAGCTTCATGTAGGTGTGGGGCAAGGCAAAAGGCAGTCGATGAGCGCGGCCTTCCCCAAGATTTCCACACGCATCACTTCTCATTTAGCCCTCCAGCACCCACATCCTTCTTGTACAAGAGGGGCTTCTTATCCACTGCGCCATCATCCTTCCTTGGAATCATGGAACCTCTGAGAAGGCGCTTCCGCTGCATGTGTGCAGGTCCTCACCTTGATCTTTCTGCATTTGTGTCAATGTTGCTCCAAGGTCGGTCATTACAGCAACTCTGCTGGCAGCTCCCAGCAAGCAGGGAGGGCACGCTAGCAAAGGGGAAGGGGAGTGAGTGAGCGCACCTGGTCGAAGGGTTTCAGTGGAGAAGGAAAGGAACCCTGAGCCTTTTAAAGCCTAGTGAGCCTGCCAGCCTGAACTACAAAGCAAGACCCTGTCTCAAAACCAAAAATACGAATAAAACCTAGTAAGCTGGATGTTGGCGCTCTTCTTATATCAAGATTCCCTTTGATTTTAGGGTGGGTCCTCATGGGCATCCACTCACGTCCTCTCTGGGAAACATGTTGCAGGGTCCTTAAAGGAGGGTCCTCACCCACATGCATAACATTTACTGTTTGAATTCCTGTCTCCCTTTGTCAGTCATCGTGCCACTGTATGCTTATCCTGTTCGTGTAGGGGAGTGCTTTCTTCGTATCTGTTGAAGTATTGCCTTTATTTCCGAGAATGTTTGCCAGAATACTTCCTATGGTACAGTAGTAGGGTCTTGTCAAATCACACACTAAAAACAGAGCGTGACTCACTCTGTTCTTCTGCTGGCTGTGTCAAGATGAGCCTCTTGCTAAGAAGTGTTTAAATTGCCACATAATCAAGGAATTGTGGACACTAACACTAGCAATTTCATCTGTGTGGGACAGAAGTTTGGCGTGTAGTTAATGACATGTAATTTTGAATTCCAAACATAGTTTGATAAAGTAATGAACCACCCAGCATCCATCACTGGGTGAAAAACTCGGCTCCTGTAAAGGAGTATATGTTGAGAAAGATGGAGAAACAAGAGCAGGACAGGTGAGGGTGAGGGCTTCCTTGGAGCTACATGGGTTCAGAAGCACGAAAGTGGCTTTGTTCTGCAGATCTGGGTGGGCCAGTTACTGCAGCCCCTTCCTCTGCCCTTTGCATGCTGTTTGAGACAGGGTCTCACTATGTATACATACATATATATATATATATATATATATATTTTAGGCTGGCCTTGAACTCACGGTGAAGCCTAAGCTGGCGTCACACTCTAAGCAATCTTTGGCCACATCCAGCCTGTCCTTCACATTGGAAAGGTCAGAAGGGAAATACTGTCCAGTTCTGTTTTAACAGAAAGAGCTTGGTATTTTAACAGAAAGGTCTTACTGCTTTGGAATGGAATTTTTCTCATTTCCTAAAAACAAATGGTAGGCACAAGTGAAGTAAGCTCACCATTAGCTGGCCCAAAGAGTATGTTTGGCTTACCCAGGAGGGAAACGAGCAAGTGGTGTGAGCTGACACCTTGCAAAAGAGGAAATGCAGAAGGCTGTTTGATCACATGTAATAAGGCTTTTTTCATGATTGACCTGCTCACACTGTTTTTAGTAAAAAGAATATAAATTTGTACTATGAAAAATGCAAATTTGTACATGGAGTAGGTGAAAATGTGTTCAGAAGGGAAGGTGTCAAGGTGTTGATCGCTTCAGAGAGGTGAGGATTGTAAGTGATTTGAAGATGTTTCTTGCACCGTTTTTCTGTTGCTCATGAGTTGTGGATAATAAATGTCCCCTTTTTTATGACTACATGTTTGCAGTTCGTGCACTTTCCTGTCATCTTGGGGAGTGGTCACCTGTACATATTACAGCATCTTTCCCTTTTTAAACTCCCCCTCGTTCCCATCCCCTTTTTCATACTTGTTAGTGCTGTTTGCCTCAGCCCATGCTGTGGCATGTGCGTTCACATTAGGGGAGCTCACAGAGTTCCTGTACGCGGCCGATCTTCATTCCTCTCGTTTCCCTCCCCTCCTCCTCACCTCTCACCCTTGTTTCCTTGGACCCCTTCACTATTGCAAGAGATCCGTCCCTTTGTCCCTTTCTGTCCATCCTTTATCATTTTTTTGTTTTGTTTGTACTTCGCCTAGCTCACATGAGAGCTATCACATGGTGTTTAAGCTTGTGTGTCTGGTTTATTTCACTGAGCATTATATTTTCCAGGTACATCCATTTTTCCTGCTAGTGTCTAAGATGTGTCGTAGTGTTCCATTGTATATAGATAGCACATTTCCAGTCATCTGCTGGTGGGTACACAGGCTGCTTTCAGGATGTAGCTGTTACAGATTGTGCTGCTATAAACATGTATACATGTATCACTGTTGTAGTCTGACATCTTAAACTCTTTGGGGAAGATGCCTAGCAGGAGAATAGCTGGGTCGAATGGAATTTCTAATTTCATTCCTTGAGAAATCTCCATACTGATTTCTGTAATGGATGTACTAGTTTACATTCCCACCAACAATGCAGGAGGGTTCCGTTCTCACCATAGCTATGCCAGCATTTGTTATTGTGTGATTTCTTAAATGATTGCTACTCTTTCTGGAGTAAAATGGAATCTTATGTGTTTTAATTTGCATTTCCCTAATGGCCAGAGATAATGAACATTTTTTTTCATACATTTGTTAACCATTTGTATTTCTTCCTCAATGAAATGTCTGTTCCTTTTCGTGCCCTTTTTTCTTTTTGGTACTGGGAATCAAACTCAAGGACCTTGTACTTGCCAGGCAGGTACAGTACCATTGAGCTACATCCCCAGCCCTTTTCTGTCCATTCCTTGACTGGGAAACTCCCTTTTGATGAAAGTTCCGAAGGAGAGACTGAAGGAGCCTGTCTCTAGCCATGCACTCAGCCCAGCCATCTGTGCCCGGCCTCTGGTCATGCCTCCCTTCTCCAAAGGGTGACCATCAGTTTCCTGCTTGGGGTTATCTTGGAGCTGCTCCTATAGTAGCTGACATCAGACTCAGCCCGGTAGGGTGGGTAGTGCCTGGCTTAGTTGTACACATATGTGATCCTAGCCACTTGGGAGGCTGAGGCAGGAGGATCAAAAGTTCAAGGCCCACCTGGGAAATTTAATGAGACACCATGTCAAACTAATGGGGGCTCAGGTCTGGGGATTGAACCCAGGGCCTTTGGTGTAAGCTACCTCCCCAGCTCCCCATCCTCCCCTTTTTTTGGTACCAGGGATTGAACTCAGGACCTTATGCTTGTGAGGCAGGCAGCGGAACCAGAGCTAAATCCCCAGCCCTCCCCTTTTTTAATTTGTAGTTTTGAGACAGGGTCTCATTAAGTAGCTTGAACTTGCAATCTTCCTGCCTCAGCCTCCCAGAATGTGGGGATTATAAACATACACCATCATGCTCAGTACAAAGTAATTTTAATGAAGGAGGTGGGCTGGGCTGGAAATAAAGCTCCATGGTATATCTCTTGCTAGCATTTGTGAGGCCCTGAGTTCCATCCCCTGGACTGGAAAAAAAAAAAAACAACAACAAAATGTAGATGCCCTGACCTGGCCTTGGGCCAGGTGGTGGGGGTACTCACTCTCCAACAAGGGATTTCGGGGTGGCCCCCACAGAAGAACCTCACTGTGTCCAAGGAGTGGCTGGCCCCTCCACCAGGATGAGAGAGGCATCAGACACAGGGGTGGATGGATCTCTTACCACCGTACTTCAAAAGGACTGCTTTGGGGGAAGCGGTGTGAGTCCTGTCCTAGCTACTGTTTGAATGTGAAAGCATTTAGCATAGTTGTCAGGGAGGTTACTGGCGTTGCCCTTGGGTATAGCACGCTTCCAAGTGTTGTCTGTAAACATCTCCAGAGCAGTGCTGCACTGTGCTGTGCCCTCGGACAGTGTGCCCTACAGAGGGAGGGTCGGTCTGCCAGCCCCTGTCAGCCCCTGCCAGCCGTCCTCTCAGGCTCCATGCAGGCCCCATGCAGGGCTCCCATGTCGAGAACTGTGCTTCAAAGGAGGGGAGAGGAAAATACTCTAAATTATTTTATGGTATAAAACAATCTGTGTGCAAGGTGCCAGTTCTTTAGGGTTAAGATTACCTCAGAATTTTAAAAAACTTTACTTGAAGGCATCCATAAACATTGCATAAAATGTGGCATATCTATTTTGATTTTCTTGTTTTTGTTAGGGAAAGGGCTACCCTTTAATAGAGTGAACGCCTTTTGTCATTTTTAGCTATTTGGCCCCTGACTGTGGAGGGAGTGTGGGTTTTTAATTAGTGCTTTCTTAAGGAACAACAATGCAGTCTTTAAAAAACTTACATTGAGCACCTAACAACCGTCCTGTGAGGTAGGGGACACTTACTGTCCCCATTTTACAGAAGGAAGACAAGTCACTGTGAGAGCACAGGACAGTGAGCAGAGCCACTCTGGGCAGCTGGTCTCTGGATCCCTGCCCTTGACCTCTGCTCTCGTTTCTGTTTCTTGTGTTTTTCTGTTGTTTTGTTTTTGAGACAGGGTCTTGCTATGTAGTACAGGCTGGCCTCAAATTCACAGCAATCCTCCTGCCTCAGCCTCCTGACTGCTGAGATTACAGGTGTGTCCATCACACCCAGCTCCTTTAATAAGTGCTGGAGCTGATCCCCCATCTGTTGACACACCTCAAACATAAATGCAGAAAGTTGGTAGCTTCAATTTAGTGAGTGCAGCTAGACTGTGCATCCATAGTAAACAGATCTCAGGAACTACGTCTGTCAGACATTAAATGTTAAGTTCTACGGAGAATTTTCTAGATAAGAATGCTGAACAAAGCTACAGGGCAATCTCTTCCAGTGTGGCTCTCCTTCCTTATTTGACATTTTGAGGCCCAGAAGCCATAATTTATCCGGGTCCCTCGGCTGGTCTGTTAGCTCAGTAGGACCTCCATGGGCATAAGCCCAGTGTCCCCTGAGGGCAAGTCACTCCCACTTGAGAACTCCAGCCTTAGAGAACATGTGTAAATGCTCACTGAGGAAACAGGCTGTTTTCAGGCTTTCCGATTTCCCTAAGCACTGTGGATGGTCACAAAGCCACCTGGTGACAGTCCTTCCCAGGAAGCCTGTCCTGCATGGCCCCTGGGGCCCACAGAGCGTCCGGAAGACCTCTTCCATGTGTTCCCTGTGCCTTCTGTCATGGGTTTCAGGTTGGGACCTGGGAGCCCTTGTCTTTCTAGAAAGTTGTGTTTAGAAACTGAGTTGGAGGCCTGCCTCACAAGTGCAAGGTCCCGGGTTCAATCCCCAGCACCAAAAAAAGGAAACCGAGTTGCTCAGGAACAGACACATTTAAGATAAGCTGCCTTAATCACAGCACAAGTGAACGGGACAATCTCCTCAGAGTGTCTGCCCATTACTTTGGTTTTGCTTACTTTTTCAAGCTAAGAGTAGATGGCCTGAGCTCCAGAAGCACCTGGCCTGTGCCTGCTGCCATGACTCGTATCTGACTCCTCTCCCTCTCTCTCCAGAAAGGACCGAAGTGTGAAGTACCCCGAAGACCTCCCCATCACCCTTCCGAATCTGCTGAGATTCATCCTGGGTCACTCAGACCGTGCCGTTGTCCCCACGGATGTGGCCAGCGCCCCTCCCAGAGGCTGTGCCCAGAGTGAGGCAGCCTTACAGCAGGGGCACATCGCCCACTTGGAGAGAGAGATCCGGACACTGCGAGCAGAGTTACGCAGCCTGCACCGGGCGCAGGTGCAGGTGGAGGGGCAGCTGTCCAGTGCCCTCAGGGATGAGCGCTGGCTACGGAGGCAGCAGCAGGCCCTGGAGCAGCAGCACAGCCTGCTGCGGCAGCACAGCGAACAACTGCAGGCCCTGTACGCGCAGAAGGCCCGGGAGCTGGAAGAGCTGGCGGACGCCTCGGAGACCCTCCTCACCGAGAATGCGTGGCTCAAGATCCTGGTGGCCACCATGGAGAGGAAGCTGCAGGGCCAGGAGGGGGCGGAGGACCCGGCCCCACCGAGAGCGACACACCCTGACCACCCCGAGCCTGCAGGTGCCCCCCTGCTACCTGGCAGCAACCCCCCACCTTCCATTGCCAGCTCCCCACTGGTATCTGAGAGGAAGAATGAGAACAGGACAGACTAACTCGAAATAATGAAGGAATCAGAGGTGAAAACTACACTGGGAATATATTTATGCAAATTTTATTGAAACTTATTGTAAATAAAGATTTTCTCAGTGGTCTAGAAAATGAACTTGAATGTTTTCAGCTTTTATTGACAGGGATGACTCCCTTCTGCTTATTGCACAAACTTGGTATCTTCGAGACAAAAACAGTAGCGCAGTCTGTTGAAGAGCTGTCTGAGAAGTTAGTCTATAATTTAGTGGCTCAATGTCAGGAGTTCTTTTCCCACTCCCCTTCTGCTGCTGCCTCTGTCATATGAAAGGATGAAAGGTTCATTTCCTGGCTACTCAGAAAACTTGAGTGCAACAGCTGGACTATTGAGAAAGAATTCAAAGAGAGGCCATAACTTAGCCATTTGAGTGTGACTGGTGTCTGTACTAAAAAACATTGGTATTGATAAGAACAGGGAGGGCTGTTGCGTCGTATTCCCCGGTCTCCGGGCATTTCATCTTCCTCCCAAAGACCCTGCCAGCTTTACCCACCCCAGTGCTCCCACCCCACTCTGATGGGCCCGACTCAAGCTCCATAGATGTCCCTGGCAACCAGGGCTTGGGGTAAGAAAACCGAAAGTGACACTGGTGAGAAAGCCACATTTAATCATTTCAACACCGAAGCTTCACTGGCACAGCAAACACTGCAAGGCAAGTCTGACAGTGGAGCAAAGGTCAGTTCCAAGGCCAGGCTCAGAAAATGCAAGTCCCAGCCATGCGTGGACAGCTGGGCTACTTGAGCAGAGGTAGAAAGCCCGGAAGGACTGAAACGGGAGGACGGATCAAAGGCCTCGGCCTCTTCTAACCACTTCCTCCAAAGGCCACCAGCTGGCATGGCCTCTGCTGATACCCAACCTGGCCCTCACCGTCTCTTCCCCCCTTAGCCAAGGGTATTTCCTCCTCTGCTTCCTAAGGGTCCCCAGGAGCCACCTCGAAGTGGTTCAGGACCGCTTTCAACACAGTGGCCTCATTAGCTACCCCCTTCCCACCCCAAATTGTTTAATGTCTGACGCCCAGTTTAGGTGTGTGCTGCTAAAATGGAAGTGTTCCCTGGAGCTCCCCACAGGGGTTCTAGAAAGTAGATTAGTTCAACATGCTTTTCAGAGGCGGCCCGAGCTCTGCTCCCTGGCCATGCTGTTTGCAGGTGGCTCAAGTGTAAAGGGCCAGTGTCTGAGGTTAAGCCCGGGCCAACTCCGGCTCATTAGCCTAGATGCCAGTACAAGCCACGTTTGAATCATGTTCAGGAGGTGCTTGCAGTGGCGGGGTTAGGAGCCTAAGCGAGCTCAGTGAAGTATACACAGGGGACAACTTGGAGATGCAGCTGACAAGGTGGGGCCTTGACCGAGAGCTACCGAGTCCTCGTCTGAGAACAAAGTCCTGAGCTCAAGTCCCACCAGCCACTCGCATGAAGTACAGTCTGGCAGGGAGCATCTGGTGGCTCCTGTGAATGGGAGCGTGCACACAGTGCTGGGAGAGCCAGGCAGGGGCCTCGTGACAATCTAGGGACCTGCCCACCCTGTGAGAAAGTGAAATCCAGTACCCAGCAGGTGGGTGGTCACCAGAGAGGAAAGGAAAGGAAGCTGACTTGTGAAAAGGGAAGTGGCTGGGATGTGGGGGCGCGACAATAGCCTCCTCCTCCACCTTAAAAAACAAAGTGTTTCCTCTCTCTCCTGGGCTATTTGGGTTTCAGACAGAGGCAGCCACCATGGGCTCTGGTGTTTCTAGGGAGCCTGAACTAAGGGGAGTTCTCAGCATGCGCAAGACCAAAGGGACAGGAAACTGCTCTGCTACCCAGCTGTCTGGCAGCCCTCGGGACTCGTGTCCTTCACCGGCTCCCAAGCAGATACGGTGGCTTCCTTGCAATAACGCCGTCGCTAGTCACTGCTATTCAACTGCGTCTCCCAGTCAGAGGGAGGGCTGTGGTTCTTCTACCTGGTACTAACCAGGCAGCAATCACCAAAGCACCCAATCGGTCAGCTGACCCAATACCTGACCCCTCACTTCCTTCACATACCGTGGAGAGACTACAGCCCCTGCCACGTGCAGCCGGGCCTTTAAAGTCTGAGACCCGCCTCATCGCCAGCGGGGTCGCAATCTAACTGGTTCCTCCCGTGTGCTCTAAGTGATATTTGAAAAATCAGCAAAAAGGCTTAAGCACGTGCTTCTGGGGCCTATTTACAGTTCACAGGTTTGTTAATTCACGCATTACAGTAGTTGCTCTGTCAAAAACAGGCTCAGCTAAACATTCAAGTAACAGAAGCTCTAAGGGCCATGAGCCCCAGCAAGGTCAGGCCTACCCACTGCCTGCAATGGGCAGCCCCACCAGGAGGCCAGGGAGAGGCCAAGGACAGCCAGGCCCCCGGAGTCAGTGCATGCGATGATGAAGCCTGCTGAGGCCATGCCGGCAAGTGTCAGCCCTTCCTCCCAAACAGCAGCATGTCTGTATTCTGCCCTCCCGGCGCCTCTCAGCTGGCTGCAAACGGGACCAGGAGCCTCATGGCCCAGATCAGCCGTGTACTTCCGGGCCACTGGGGGTCATCAACTTGGCCTTCCTCTCCACACACGGTCCCTTGGCCGAATACTGCACCAGCAGGAAGGGCTCCTTGGTCTCGCCATCCCCTACGATGCTCTCCTCGTCCTCCGACTGGCTGATGCGCTGCAGCCGTAGGTAGCACCAGCAGCCCAGGATCAAGGCCCCCAGCGCAGCAATGGCGATGAGGATGACGATGACTGTGACCACACCAGTGGTGGGGCTGTGGTCCATAATAGACATGGTCAGTGCTGGGGCACTTCCGGAGCAGGAAGCTCTCAGGGCCAGCTGGCTCAGTGAGGCTGGAACTCCGGCTGGACACAAGAGCCCTAAAACACACGGCAAGGTGAAGCTACACCAGGGAATCCACTAGGAACAAGACCTCACAAGTGTCAGTTAGTGTGACTGTATTTGGGGGGTTGTGTTTCTGCAGTACTGGGGACAAACCCAGAGTTCACTACCGCTGTTCACTGTCCACTTCCCAACCCTTTTTATCTCTGAGACAAGGTCTTGCAAGACTTGAGCTCACGATCCTCTTGCCTCAACCTCCTGTAGTTCTGGGATTCGGCTCCATGGGTAAAGAGCCTGACCATCCTGGCGACATCCTAGTGAAAAACACACAACAGGCTTTCACTCTCTTCACAGATGCCCACCCCAGCCTGCTTCCACCAACTCCTCTGATAACTGTTTAGTAGCAGACGGCCAAGACACCCTCGCTCAACCACCGGCCTGAAAAACGGGAGGGGAAGATGGGAGATACTGCAACAGCTGTGGCAGGGGGTGCAAAAGGGCTGGACTACTCTGGCTGTTCGGTTTAAGGAGCACATCCTGGCAGCTGGCACCATGGGTGTCCAGGAACCGCTCGGGGACTGAGAGGAGCCAGTGGCTTCCTGAAGGCTGGAGAGGAGGGTCTCAACAGCAGGGAAGTGACATCTGCCCGTTGGGAAGGGGTGACACATACAGAGAAACCAGTGCTTCTGGGCCCCCTGTGCGTGGGTACAGCAGATGAGCTTCTGCCACGAGGGACTGCAGCTGGCCTGGGAAGACCCCGGTGCTCAGAAGGCAGAATGAAGTCAACCAAGCATGCAAAAGGGAAGGGGGTCCCAGCACCTCCAGGCACCGGGGAGGCAGGGGAAGTATGACAGCCAGTTCCTGTCTGCACACAGATCAGTGTCTAGTGCGGAAGCCAAGCTGCTACAAATGCAGGTGCCACATGACTACAAGGAACCAAGTGACACTGAACTCTGAGAGCAGGTGAGTTGCAGGAAGGCCACGGTGGTGAAGAACATGCCCAGCAGGGCAAAAGCAGCTTCTGAAGGGAGGAGGGCAGCCAGCCGGTGTGCGTGAGGCATGGTCCCACCAGCAGCCATGGGACTAAGAGAAAGAAGTCCGTCATCCCCAAGCCCCCAGCCCTCCTCTGCAGCAGCAAGTCCTGAGTGGCAAAGCAGAGGGGGTCTGTGCGACGCGTTTCAGCTCCAGAACACCCAGATTCCAGTCTCCCTCTCAGCCTTCCAGGGCTCGCTCGAGGTGACCCCCAAGGCCTAGCCTGAAACAGACCCAGCGATGAGGGCTTTGCTGCTGTTGTTGTCCTGGGTGCTGCAGCTAATGGTCCTTCTACCCCAAGACCCTGCACTGTCTCCCCTCTCCTGCTGGCTGTCATGAGCAGGGAGCCCATCAGAGCAGCTCACACCCCAGCAGCCAGGAGGGAAAAGGACAGGCCCCAGCACACTCCACACTGGGCTGGGCAGTCTACAAGGAGCACTGGGTGTCTCAATTTGGTTTTGTTTTTCCTCTTTCTTCCTTCAGTACTAAGGATGGAGCCCAGGAACTTGTGCATGCTAGGCAAGTAGTCTACCAGTGAGCCACATTCCCGGCCCTTTTTATTTTTACAGACAGGGTTTCACTAAGTTGCCCAAGCTGGCCTCGAACTGGTGATCGTCCTACCTCAGCTCCTAAGTAGCTGGGACTATAGGCAAGGACTACTGATCCTGGGCTGAGCTCTTTTTTTTTTTTTTTTTTTTTTTTTTTT